GTTTTTCTTAGATTTTTACAAGGTGGTGTTGGCTTAGTTCAATCTACACAGAATTATTTGTGGATTCCAATTGGCCAAGTAATTATAACAATACTACAAATGATTGTTTAGTATTAAATTTTATATCTATTAATTAATTTCTTTCAATTAGTACACAACTCGTGAAATATCTGTTAAAATGTTTGAACATTTACATGGGTAAATTAAATTTGCTAATGATAAATATTATTAAAGTCACCAAGTATATTTTTCTCAAATCAAAACTTTCCTTTTTTATAATTATATATAGGCTTTCATTATCTTATCATATAAATCGTAAAACAGGAGAGGTTTTGAGAGTTATGGATCGTGGAACAAATAGTATAATCACTTTACTCAACCAAATCTTATTTCAAATCTTTCCTGTGATTGTCGATATCATTGTTGCTGTTGTATATTTTGTTATTAGATTTGGATGGGTATTTGGTGCTATAGTATTCATCACCATGACTGCTTATATTTTTTTGACTATTTGGATTACTGAATGGAGAACGAAATTCAGGCGTGAAATGATCGAATTGGACAATGACACTAGAGCCAAAGCAGGTGATTAATTTATTAGTCAATTTTGTCGATTTACTAATGATAAACAATATCTAATTATTATTAAGGAACTAATTTTCCTTTATTTATAAAATTTTTAGTTGATTCTCTTTTAAATTTTGAAACTGTTAAATATTATAATGCAGAACAATTTGAAATTAGACGTTATGATGAATCCATAAAAAAATTTCAAGTAGCTGATTATAAAGTAGCCAGTTCTTTAAATATTTTAAATCTTGGTCAAAATTTTGTTATTACACTTGGTTTATTAGCTGGCTGTTTGATTTGTGCTAAAAATGTAGCAAGTGGTGACTATACAGTTGGAAAATTTATACTTTTCGTAACATATATTAATCAACTGTACACCCCAGTAAGTTTCCTCTATAATAACAATAATAACATTATTATTATTATTATTATTATTATTATAAGTATTATTATTATTATTATTTATCAGTAATTTAAAAATAAAATTTTTTTTGTAGCTTAATTTTTTTGGTACTTATTATAGATTGATTCAACAGAATTTTATTGATATGGAAAAAATGTTCCTATTATTTAAAGAAAAACAAAGTGTTCAAGATGATCCTAATGCATCAGAACTAAATGTTACTGACGGAGAGATTATATTTGGTATTTATAGTTTAACTTGATTGATAAGGCTATACGATTATATATATATATGTATTGTATCTTAATATATATTTTTTTAATCAATTTAGACAATGTTGGGTTTTCATATGATTCTAGGAATGAATCATTAAAAAATATATCATTTACAATTCCTAAAGGTAAAACTGTAGCTTTGGTTGGGCCTAGTGGCGGAGGGTAGGAGTTTAAGGATTTTTAATTATCAATTTTTTAAAATTCTTTAAAGTAAGATTTTTTTTAACATTTTAATTTATATTTCTATCAGAAAATCTACCATATTACGTTTATTATTTAGATTTTATGATGTCAACTCGGGCCAAATATTAATTGATGGACAAGACATCAAACATGTTACACAAGAGAGTTTACGTAAAAATATTGGTGTCGTACCTCAAGACACAGTACTATTCAACGATACTATTTTTTATAACATACATTATGGAAATGTAAATGCAAGCGATGATGAAGTATATAAAGCTGCAAAATCTTCTCAAATCCATGATAAAATCTTAAGTTTTCCAGATGGTATGTATAAAATGATTAATTTATAAAGTATATAAATTTTTAATAGAATTATTTAATGTGACTTAGGTTATGAAACGCGTGTTGGAGAACGTGGTTTAAGATTAAGTGGCGGCGAAAAACAAAGAGTCGCAATTGCTAGAACAATCTTGAAGGTTTTTTTTTAAAAAAATTCAATATTATTTTATTTTATTAATTATAAATTACTATTTATCTAATTCTCACGTATTATTATTATTAAAAACAAAAAGAATCCTCCGGTATGATTAATTAATTAGTCAGTTCCATTGATTGTTGTTGTTTTTTTTTTGATTAATAGTAATCTAAATATGCAAAATATTTTTTATAGATTATTTTACTTGACGAAGCTACATCTGCTCTCGATACTACTACTGAACGTCAAATACAATTTGCTCTTTCACATATGACAAAAGACCGCACAACTTTAGTCATTGCACATAGATTAAGTACAATAGTCAATGCTGACTTAATCCTTTGGTAAAAAATTTTCTTTGAAATAGAAAGAAATGTAAATATAAACATCTCAGTATTTTACATTAAAAAACTTTTTGTTTTTTTATTATTAGTATCAAAGATGGTCAAGTTATTGAGCAAGGAACTCACGATGAATTATTGAAACAAGCGTTGGAAAAAGGAGGAGAAGGTAAATAAATGAATGTCATAATATATGTACATACATCGTAGTGTAATGTTTTAAATGTTTAATTACTTTATAATGAAAATAGGTGTGTATTATGAAATGTGGCAAAAACAATTACGTGACGAATCTGAAGGAACAAATCAGGACAGTGAAGAAGGGAATAGTAAAAATGCAAAAGAAATTGAGCCACCGAAATAAATTATTATATTTTTGTTATTTATTTATTTAATAAACTTTTATATAGCTTTTGCCATGTATTTTTTTAGTAATAGTACAATGTTAATATTATTTAATAATTATTGTTTTTCTGATAAAGCGGTAACACCTGGTAATTCTTTGCCTGAAAAGAATAACGAGAAAACAATAATAGTAACATTAATCAATTTGTTGAAACCCCCCCCCCAATTAATTAAGAAAAATGTTATTACCTTCTAGTAATTCTAAAGATGCACCCCCACCAGTAGAAACATGAGAAATTTTATCTTCTGAATTCCATTTCGCAACAGCAGTAGCAGTATCACCACCACCAACAATTGTTGTAGCACCATTTTTTGTTGCCTCAATTACTGCATCCAGTGCATATTTTGTACCATTTGCAAATTTTTCGAATTCAAACACACCAGTTGGACTAGCAGTTTTACAAATAATTTTTGTTAAAAGTAAATTGATATCAACACACACGCACACACACACATATATATTTACCCATTCCAAAGTATGGTTTTGGCTTTGAGAATTGTATTTCTGAAAATTTCATTGGATTTTTCGCCAGAATCTAAACCTAACCAATTTTCTGGTATGCCTGTTTCATCTGTTGCGTATCCAGTCTATGAATGAAATAAACTAATAATTAATAATTATAATTATATAAACTTTTCTAAAAAAAAAATTTAAAGAAAAAATACATTAGCATTTGGATCAAATTTATCAGCAGTAATATAATCAATAGGAAACACTAGATCGACGTTATTTTTTTTAGCCTTCTCAACTATTTGTCCCACAATTTTAGCTCCATCTTCATCGAACAAAGATTTGCCAATCTAAAATAAATAAAGTTATTGATTATTGACAACAATTACAACAACAATAATAACAATAATATAATAATATGAATTTATTGTTAAATTACTTCAACATTTCCGAGTGTCTTCTTAAATGTAAAAACCATTCCACCTATAAATTATTTAACTCTATAAAAAACTATTTAAAATAAATTTATGATTTAAAAAATTTTATAAATCAATTACCAGTAATAATCATTGAATTAACTTTATCAAGTAAATTATCGATCAATTTGATTTTATCTGAAACCTTGGCACTAGATTTATTTTGAAATCGTTTTTTTATTAGAAATTTTTATTATTGAAATAATTAAATTAATTAATAAACTTGAAAATTTTACCCGCCAAGAATAGCCAAAAATGGTCTTTCAGGGTTTTCCAAAGCTTTTCCAAAGAAATCCAATTCTTTTTTTAATAAAAATCCAGCCGCTCTTATAGGTAAATTAACACCCACCATAGAGCTGTGAGCCCGATGGGCTGTACCAAATGCATCATTAACATATATGTCACCAAGTTTTGATAATGATTCACGAAATTTTGTTACTTCTTCTTTTGATGGTTTAATCTATATTTCATAAATTATTAAAATCATTAAAATGATATATCTACATATGTAATATTTTATAAAGATACTATTTTTTGAGGAGGGGGAAAAATATGTAAATGTAACAACCTTGTTTCCTTGATCATCTTTTGCTGAACCTTCTTCTTCAATATGAAATCTAAGATTCTCCAATAAAATTACTTTGCCTAAGTAAACAAGCCAACAAAAATACCATTTATATATTTAGTTGTAGATATTGATATGTTGATATATTGATTGATAATAAAAAGTTTATTAAAAAATCTTGCCATCAGTTGCTTCAAAAGTAGCCTTTTCAACATCAGGACCAACACAATCATCTAAAAACAAAACATCCTTGTTTAAAAGTTTGCTTAGTTCAACAGCGACAGGTTTAAGAGAATATTTTGGATTAGATTTTCCATCTGGTCTACCAAGATGAGACATCAAAATAACAGCTTTTGCTTCTATTAAAATTTTTTTAAAAAAATGAGACTATTATAAAATAAAGTAAATTCATAAACAAAATAATAACAGAAAAATGAATGAAGAATACATTACTGTTATCTAAAGCATGTTTAATTGTAGGTAAAGCTGCTGAGATTCGTTGATTATTGGTAATTTTTCCATCTTGAAAAGGAACATTAAAATCAACTCTAATACATTTGATTATTAGTTTGTATGTATGTGTGTATACTTTTTTAAAACAATTTATTTTTACCTCATTAAAACACGTTTATCCTTAACATCAATATCTTGAATGGAAAGTTTATTGCTTAGACTAGTTTTTGACATTTTTTTTTTCTTTTAATTGATCGATAAATAATTAAAGATAATAATTTGAAGATGGATTTGTTTCGACTTGTGATGGATGATCTAACCAAATTTCATATAGAGTTCATTCAACCTAGCCGAAAATTTCCCATTCATGGGAATGACTTAGTTTTGTAAAAAAACAAAGATGGATATTATTCGAGAAGCTCAGATAATTCAATCTTTTGATCAAGAATCATCTGATGATGATATTGAGTTAGAAGAAAGTGGTGATGACTAGAACTGCATCTATGTTAAGATTTCAAATATGAATTTTATGATCATTTTCCAAGTTCTGATGACTCTAATCTAACGACAACACCAAGAACAATTATTTCATCAATGCAATCAATGCAATTACCATCAATAAAACATATTCAATCTATTTTAATGCATTATCATACCCTCCGAACTTTTTATGGTACACTTTGCTTTTGCAGGATAAAATTTGATAATTATGTTGGCAAGCAATAGGCTCTTTCTAAAATGTGCCAATAGATCATTGGTAAACTACAAGACTGGTATTATTCTGATAGCCTATGGAGCTTATGTATTCTCTCTTCTTCTCCTGGTTATGCTTCAGGACCAAAAAAAACAGTTATAACAGGAATTGAAAAGGAGATGTACCACTCGATTGGTAAATGAATTTAAAACAAGTCGGGTGTGCTAAATGATTTCTACATCCTTTATTATGCAAAATACGTCATACTCGCCTTTATATCCATAGATTTGCTCAAGGTGTAAAAACCCTTTCCAAAAATATATTCATTAAAGATATGCAGAGTTGCAGTAATGGTGGCGGGATGTTGTGGGATAGGGATGTAAATGCTTCAAGAAATATAAGAGATACTTATATATTTACGTGTAAAAACGGAGGGGGGGGTTTCAACAAATTGATTAATGTTACTATTATTGTTTTCTCGTTATTCTTTTCAGGCAAAGAATTACCAGGTGTTACCGCTTTATCAGAAAAACAATAATTATTAAATAATATTAACATTGTACTATTACTAAAAAAATACATGGCAAAAGCTATATAAAAGTTTATTAAATAAATAAATAAAAAAAATATAATAATTTATTTCGGTGGCTCAATTTCTTTTGCATTTTTACTATTCCCTTCTTCACTGTCCTGATTTGTTCCTTCAGATTCGTCACGTAATTGTTTTTGCCACATTTCATAATACACACCTATTTTCATTATAAAGTAATTAAACATTTAAAACATTACACTACGATGTATGTACATATATTATGACATTCATTTATTTACCTTCTCCTCCTTTTTCCAACGCTTGTTTCAATAATTCATCGTGAGTTCCTTGCTCAATAACTTGACCATCTTTGATACTAATAATAAAAAAACAAAAAGTTTTTTAATGTAAAATACTGAGATGTTTATATTTACATTTCTTTCTATTTCAAAGAAAATTTTTTACCAAAGGATTAAGTCAGCATTGACTATTGTACTTAATCTATGTGCAATGACTAAAGTTGTGCGGTCTTTTGTCATATGTGAAAGAGCAAATTGTATTTGACGTTCAGTAGTAGTATCGAGAGCAGATGTAGCTTCGTCAAGTAAAATAATCTATAAAAAATATTTTGCATATTTAGATTACTATTAATCAAAAAAAAAACAACAACAATCAATGGAACTGACTAATTAATTAATCATACCGGAGGATTCTTTTTGTTTTTAATAATAATAATACGTGAGAATTAGATAAATAGTAATTTATAATTAATAAAATAAAATAATATTGAATTTTTTTAAAAAAAAACCTTCAAGATTGTTCTAGCAATTGCGACTCTTTGTTTTTCGCCGCCACTTAATCTTAAACCACGTTCTCCAACACGCGTTTCATAACCTAAGTCACATTAAATAATTCTATTAAAAATTTATATACTTTATAAATTAATCATTTTATACATACCATCTGGAAAACTTAAGATTTTATCATGGATTTGAGAAGATTTTGCAGCTTTATATACTTCATCATCGCTTGCATTTACATTTCCATAATGTATGTTATAAAAAATAGTATCGTTGAATAGTACTGTGTCTTGAGGTACGACACCAATATTTTTACGTAAACTCTCTTGTGTAACATGTTTGATGTCTTGTCCATCAATTAATATTTGGCCCGAGTTGACATCATAAAATCTAAATAATAAACGTAATATGGTAGATTTTCTGATAGAAATATAAATTAAAATGTTAAAAAAAATCTTACTTTAAAGAATTTTAAAAAATTGATAATTAAAAATCCTTAAACTCCTACCCTCCGCCACTAGGCCCAACCAAAGCTACAGTTTTACCTTTAGGAATTGTAAATGATATATTTTTTAATGATTCATTCCTAGAATCATATGAAAACCCAACATTGTCTAAATTGATTAAAAAAATATATATTAAGATACAATACATATATATATATAATCGTATAGCCTTATCAATCAAGTTAAACTATAAATACCAAATATAATCTCTCCGTCAGTAACATTTAGTTCTGATGCATTAGGATCATCTTGAACACTTTGTTTTTCTTTAAATAATAGGAACATTTTTTCCATATCAATAAAATTCTGTTGAATCAATCTATAATAAGTACCAAAAAAATTAAGCTACAAA